AGTGACGGGGCGAGTCCCCGCCCCTGAGAGGATGAACGCCCGGTTCAATTCCGGAATTCTGGGGTCGGCGGGGGGGCCAAAAGGGCGGCAAGACTAAGACGGGAAGATCAGGAGAATCCCGGTCTTTACCGAGGCCAGCGATCGATTGACAAACACGACTACACGCGTCTTGCACGACGGTCGCTCAGTATTTGAATGCATCAACCCACCCATGCATCCATTCAGTCTTGTTCATTTCCCCAGGCGCTCTGAACAGGTGGGCCACAACCCCGACCAAGGGGCTGGAGGGCCCTCCCTTCTGGCTGGCGCCCCACGGGCACGCCGTGTCACCCAGGATGAGCCTACCTGGGCCAGATGTTGTCGTCATCGGCTTGTCGAAATTAAAAGGGCGGGACGCGAACTGCATCCTTTCAGCTCGAAGGGTCCCCTTCCTGTCTCCCCGGCAGGGCGGCGCGGCATCAGCGCCGCCTCAAGAAGGTGGACCCACAGGACCTTCATGAGGGCTGCGAGGCCACCCGATGATTTTCGAAACTCTCTCGACCCAGCCGCCCAAGACATGCAACACCCTACCCTCATTCATCCAGTGAAGGGAAATAGCATCTTTGGTCTTTGGTGGAGTGCACGGGATTGACGTCAATCCAGCCTCGCGCCTGTCATAAAATCAGGAGAAGGGAATCTCATCATGGCTCCTCAAAGTCCAAAGTCCAAAGCAACCACAATGTCGGGGTGCTCCATTTTTTCCGCCGAAAACCAGCCGGAATCACCGAGTCCCCGGCCAGGCCAAATCTTAACACCCACAATTATGAGGGGAGAGCGATGGTGGTGCCCAGGCTGTGGCTCAGCCGGAACCGTAGCGTCTGAGGGCTGACAGCACGGGGTGCTTATCAATCACCCGGAGACACGGGACTAGGCTTACAAAGGGCACCCAGGGCACCCAGGGCATCTAGGGCATCTAGGGCATCCGGGGCATCCAGAGCATCCAGGGCAACCCCATGCCAGTTCAGTTCACGTTGACTGCCCATTTCGAGTCCTCCTCCAGCCTCCCAGTGCGCCCGTCAAGTTTATATAAAAGCGCGGGTCCGCCGATCAGCCTTCCCACATTACATGTAGCTTTGGCTTCAAATTGGTGCTGAAGGCCACCGAACAACGAGCCGGCCCCCAACCACTTGCGGACATCGTCGGGGAGGTTTCGGCGACGCCAATAAGCAAGACTGACGGGGAGCCGTTGGAGATGTAAAAGGTGAAGGCTAAACAGTCGAGAGAGCATTAGTGTAAAGACCCAGCTGATAGAGATGATTTGACGCGTCTTCAATCGCGGAGGGTTCCGTCAGATCAAGGCTCCATCCCCTTTAGGCCATCATTATCACACAGATGCCCAATTCGATAGATTCCCATCTCCTCGATGAGCCGCGCCCGTGTTAACCACTAGTGCAGATCAGACTCGATCTATTATTATTCGTGGCTGTCTTGGGAAGACCATGGACCCTGGTGACCAGGCTGACCAAGCAAGGGCCATATTGAAACACCTCCAGACTATATCCGTCGAGAGCGCCTTACTGCATATATAGCCTTTTGGATCAAGCTCTGATGGTCAATGATTCATCACCCAATGTTATATGGCTATCATCAATCAATGTAGTAGCGCATTATGCTCGGTCCCAAATTTCTGTTGGTGGCGGCATGGGCACCTATTTTCCAACATTACCCCCATCGGATAGCGCACCTTTTCGGCTAGCGCACCTAAAAGCGAAATCCCCTTCCGCACTCATCAACAGCCCACGCATGGATCAATCCAATTGATGGTTGACGAGGATGCTGATCAACATCAATTGATCAATGTCAGGTGCAATGTTGACGGATTCACCTACCTCGGTATCAATCAATCTAATGGTCCATAGATGTTTATCGACACTCTGGTGTAGGCGTCAGCTTGATCGATTCGGATGGGAGAGTAAAGCCGTATACCGAGGTCGGCCCATTCCATTCACCCAGTCCAGCAGCTCTTCTCGGTGCTAGCCTCAGTGTGTCAGTTTCTCCAGTAGCTCCAGATATGGATGGATCCAATAGATCCAATGGAGGACCCATCCAGCCATCCGCAACGAAGCAACCCCTTGGGATCCATTGGATTGATTTCTTTGAACATCTGATCAATAGCCAACCTCCGGCTCCATTTGGGAGACGACCATGCTGGTGCCTCAAACAGGCTTCCAATGTGCAAGTAGTGTGATCATGGCATTGCTCCATTTGCGGCAGTAATCGATATATCAGACTTTTCCTTTCTTCGGGATGCGCTGGGGGTTGAATCCATTTCGGAACCAGGAAGCAGGAGCATCCCGGCGGTGCAGCCAAGGCTTGCCCCCTCCCCTTGGCATCAATCCATCTTCACCCACTTCAGGGGATAATACATGTAAGAAAGGGAAAGAAAAACCCACGCCTGATCGTGATCCGTTGATGCAAGGCTTTGACGTGCCGGGAGCCCAACGGATCACCCCCAAAGGCCGACCTCAAAGACCGGTGGCAACGCAACCATCCCGGGCCACGCTCCACCGATGCGTGGGCCGTCTGTTGCAGTCAAATGGACAACGACTGTGCAGCCACAGGTTCAGAGATCAAGGATGAATTTGATGAGCAGGTCGATCACGGACTAGGCTCCGCGGGCCTCTGCACGAACAGCAAGATGGACCCCGGTATCTGTCAAATATCACAACTCGTCTCTTCGTCAAGGCTGCCGCACGCCATCTTCGGAGTATGCAAGGAGACGAGCACGGAAACAAGCTAACAACGGTAGCTCTGACAAGATCGGGGCAGGATTGCAAAGAGACATCTCCGGCAGCGTCCACAACCATGCTTGTACAATAATAATAATAATAATAAGCCTGGTCCTTTCTCGTCTCACGAAACGAGCATGAATACGGGGAAGACGAGCAAACGGCCCGCCAACGTTCAGCCACCTACGGGGGTATGTCAATGTTACCAAATGAGGTTTGAAAATCCCAATCAACCCGCTCGCAACCGTGAATACCTTGTAGTTAGTGTCATTTGCGAGAAGCTGGAGCTGCGGCGAGTGTGTCCCTTGTTTGATTTTGACCTATCACCGACCTGGATTCGTGTCATCCCGATGCTTCCCACCATCACATTTTGGCCGGGAAAGGAGGGGGGCAGGAGGACAGAAAGGGAGAGCAAGAAGAAGAAAGAGGAAAAAAAGAAAGAGATCCAACCGACTTCGTAATTCGATCCTTGCCGCAGTGGGACAGTATTGAGCCGTGATAATGAACTTTTTTCTCGAGGGTTCCAGCTCCCCTCTCCACATCCGGCTGGCAATCTCTTTCCGACTCCAGCCGCGTGCATAGCCAGCACAGGTCTTTCGGACCCAGCAAGGTGGCAACCAAACCTCCAAATGCCAGATCCGTGGCATCTATGGATCCCAATGTTGCGTCCGGGATGCCGGTCTCAGCTACCGACTTGTGATTTTCCACGGGGGCTCTCGCGCAAATGGTTGGCCCAAAAATCCCTGGCCAGCTTTTCCATTCCATCGAGGATGGCATTTGCAGCACTTTCCCGTGCCGATGCCCTGAGATCCCGATTTTTTCGCCACGGACTTGGATTGCGCTTGTCCGTTCCATGCGAGCTGAACTCTGGGAACACAGCAGGCACGGATGGTACGCTGATCGGCGTATACGAACCTTTACACTCGCTGGCGATGCCCCCCTCTTCTCCTTCTCCACCCCCAAAAACGAGATATGGGTAGAAAAAAGCAGCTTCCTGTGAGGGCAAAACTTGGAAATCGCAGCCTAGATGTCGGCCGCCGAGTCCTAATGTGACCCCACATGCCGTTGCCCTTCTCCAACGGCGACACCACATCGCGTTCCTGTCGTCGCGTGGAGCGCATGCAGGTAAGCCCACCTTGCACGTTTTGGCGTGAGCTCGCGGGTGTGTGTGTGTGTGTATGTGTGCGTAGATGTGTGGATTGATGTGTGGATGATGTGTGCGTCGCCACATTAGTACTTGGCTCATCAAGCCGTCCAGGCTGACCCTTCACACCTATCTTCTCCCACGCATGCTCACCCACAACCGGCATGCAGGCTCAGGAGGACCTTGATCTCCTTGAACGGGTGGATAGCCGATCGGGACGAAGCTAAGATATGCAGACTAACCCATGCCGACCGTCGCTCCCACCCTTCTACCGCGCTCTCTTTTTTTTTGTGCCTTCTTTCCCTGATTCGGACCCGGGGCACCCTGTCAGGCCTTTTGCTCGCAAAGACGCCATCTCGAGCACAATACACTACACCTGTCCGTGGACCGCGCGGCGCGACCCATGACGCAGGACGTCAACCTCGCAAACTTCTCCGCGCCCAGCTTCCACTCGGACGGTGCGATATCTACTATCCAAAAGCATCTTCCGTGTTGCCCCTCTCTCCGCCCCCGACCTTGTGCACGTTGGCACGCCCCCACAAGACCCGTAATTTTTGGTCTCCTTTCTTTTCTTTTTCCTTATTCCCTTTCGTCTTGGTCCGGCGGGGTCGTGACAGATCCGTTTCTGCTACGGCGCAAGGCACGGGTCAGAACGGCCCGTCTCCTGGGGCAAATGATACAATAATGGGGCCTAAACCTGGCGATGTCACCCCTCGATCCGAGTAAGCTTCGCCGTTTGGCGCTAATTTCCATTGATTTCTCTCACCTGCGGGAGCTTTTTGTCCGTCAAGGCTGGATCGGAAGAGGGGCGGGTTAAAGATGGGCGGGACTGGGAAACTAACCAAGGCTAAGGGTAAGTCGGGAGTGTCGACAAGACTGGACCTCTTCCCATCTCCGCCTAGCCACGCTAGTTATATAAACGTTGGCGCCATGGGGTCCTCCTTCCCTGTGTTCAAGCCTATCTTCCCTCTTTAGTATGCGAGCCAGAAAATCATAGGAGAAAGAGTTTGCCTGAACCTTTTTATTCCCCTTGAAAAAGAATAAATACAAATCCTAGCTGCTGCTGAGAAAACGTGCCACCCCACATCATGGTCTCCCTTTGCAGTTGCGTGGCGACTGAGCCTGCCTACTCCCTGAGAACCGGCGCCTACGCCGCCCTCGCAGCTCTTGTCGCCGCCTGCCAGACGGAGCTGCCCCGCGATGCCTTTCGTCAAGTCAGGAAAGCATCCTTTGTCTCGCCATCTTCTAAAGGAGACCGCCCCGTCTTCCCCTGCCCCCTCAAAGAACATGAGGTCGTCGCCGCTCTCAAGGCCCTCGAGGGCTGTGTTGCGTCGACCATTGCCGACCTTCGCTTCGGCTCAAGTTCCCGCGCCATCACTGTTGACATGAGAAAGGTAGCCGGCTTCCTCATGTCTTCATACATCACAACAGTAGACGGTTTCACAAAGGCCGACCCCAAAGTGTCGGAAAAGCTCATAGGTACGCCTACTTCGCCCCCTCCCTCCAGACGAGCATGAAGCTCGTTGAATCTCTACAAGGCTGAACTAACATCGTGAACAGATACGGACTACAACCAGGCCCAGTCCATCTTGTATCGGCGACTCTCCGCTAACCTATACCGTACCAAGAACCCACAAGAGTTCTACCACATCCACGGATCTCTGGAAGCTAGCCGTACTCTCAACATGATTGGGCTACCAGCCTTCAACCCCAGGCTCACTGACTATCGCTCGTGCATAGACACCATAGAGCGCGCTGTACAAAAGTTCACCGTCGTCGAGCTAGAGGAAATGAACCAGCGAGAGAGGCAGGCTGGCGTGCTGGCGCTTCAGCTCGACCGATTCCTCCAGACACCGCACGGCCAGGCTATGGCCGGTCTCCCGCCCTTTACCGTCCGGGCCCTTGAGACGTCTACCCCTCCGATTCCTTTCACTCGCACGGCCCCGGATCCTTCCTCACCTCGACAGTGCCTCCGCGGGATTCGGGTGCTGGAGCTGTGTCGTGTGATAGCGGGCCCTACCATTGGCCGGTCTCTTGCGGCGCACGGTGCGGATGTTCTCAAGGTGACATCGCCGTCCCTCCCCGACGTCCCGTTCTTCCAGGTCGACGTGAACGCCGGAAAGCACACGACGGCACTTGACTTGCGCAACCCGCACGACCGCTCCATCTTTGAATCTCTGTTAGCGTCGGCAGACGTGCTTATCGACGGCTACCGCCCTGGCTCGCTTGAAAAGCTCGGGTACGGCGCCGCGAACCTAGCCGCGCTCGCCCGGCATCGTGGCAAGGGCTTCGTCTACGTTGCCGAGGATTGCTTTGGAGGCACGGGCGTCGCGGGCCCAGAGGCCGAGTGGGCGCACCGCCCCGGCTGGCAGCAGATTGCTGACTGCGTCACGGGCGTGGCATGGGAGCAAGGCCGTTTCATGGGCCTGGACGAACCCGTCGTCCCGCCTTTCCCCATGTCCGATTATGGAACGGGGTTCTTGGCTGCGCCGCAGCGTTGACGGGGCTCTACCGCCGTGCCACCGAAGGGGATCGTGGTCGTGCCGGACGAGCCTCGTTCAATACGACCTTTTCTCCTCTCCCTGGGATCACTCCCCCACAACGTGCAAGAAACCCTAGCTAAACAGCACAACTCTGCATTTTTCGACCTGCGGCACAGCGACTCCGTCGACGAGGTTGGCAAGCGCGCCCTCCAGAGCATCAAATCCCTCCACCCAGAGCTCTTCGACCCCGATTTGACGCAGAGCGCCTGGAGCGAAGGCTATGCCGCGGAGGTGAGGTGGCCCCGCGAAGCCCTGGAGATTGAGGGCGTGGCTGTTGGCTACCTGAGGGCTACACGGCCGAATGGGTTCGACGCACCAACCTGGGATGGATGGGAGGAGGATCGGGATATCTTGGCCGCGGGTTAGAAAGAAGGGGGTGGAGGGCTGGTTTCTTCATCTTTGGTTGGTCATATGCCGCCCCTTGTTCTCCCTTTCCCACCTTGGCACGGTGAGGCGCCGGAGGGGGAAGGCTCGGGTGGAGGGCTGGTTTCTTCATCTTTGGTTGGTCATATGCCGCCCCTTGTTCTCCCTTTCCCACCTTGGCACGGTGAGGCGCCGGAGGGGAAGGCTCGAAGCATTACCATGCAAGGCAAGCATGACCCAATGGCAACCCTGTATCTGATTTCGTGTACCCTGGCACTTTTTTTTGGAAGATCGATATAGTCCACATGCATCAAGATGCGTACATGTATTCATGGATGCATGTACGAGGCGGAAACCCAAGCAAACAGGTTTAAGCACGTCTCCAAGTAGCGGAGACGCGCCATTCAAATTGTGATTTGAATTGACCTGCTTTAGAGGTTCAATAAAGAAGTTCGTAAGGGGACGTGGTAACAGATACATCAGTAGATACAAAAGCAGGCAATGTGGTTGAAAAGAAAGAAGAAAGAAGAAAAAGACGCGAGAGATGAAACAAGAAAAAAAGGGACAAGGATCAAATCCTCGTCAATTTTTTTCCAAATAAAAAGACTTTATACATGGTGATATAACAATGCCTTTTCTTTTTCTATCCAACATCCGGAAATATAATTGAACAACCGCGAAACACCTTGCCGCCAACGAGCTAGTACCCATTTATGACTAGCCTGCCCGGGTCGTTTTCCAACATGATCTTTACCCTCTCGAGGAAAACAGTAGCCCGCTTCTCCTCCGCCTTGGGCACGGTAAGGCTGAAAATGTTAGTGCCAGTCGATAGACCGGGGGTGGTATATGTGGAGGCAGGACGAGCCTTCCGGTTCGAAGCCGGACCGGAAAGGATGTCGATGATATCAGCGGGCTTGGAAGCGGCCTTCGCCGCAGCGGGGCTGATGGGCATAACGACCGAGGTTGCAGGTTGGTAGGCGCCCCTCGTAGCTTTCGCGGGGGCGTTCTTGAGCCCGAGAATATCATTGAATAACTCGGTAGAGGTGGGCTTGTGAGCAACAGGCGGCAGTTCGTCATTGGCTATATCAATGGCACGAGAGATGAAGCCGTTGAGGCCGAGGAAGCTGCCGACAGAGCCTTTTAATTTTTGCTGGGTCTCGATAACCTGACCCATGGATATGGAAACCGAAACTTCGGCCATCTGGGGAGCCTTGGGGGCCTCAGCGGCTGGCTTCTCGGCCTTGGGGGCCTCCTTCTTGGGCGCAACCTTGATGTTGCTAAGATCGAGGTGGGAGAGCTTGTCAAACATGCTCGAGAGCTGAGCCGGGGTTTCGGCTTTGATAGCACCGAGGTAGGCCAGAACGTCTCCCTTTAGTAGGCGACCGCCAGGCCCAGTGGGGGTGATCTGGCTGACAACCGATTCCTCGATACCGTGCTGCTTGATGAGGGCATGTACGGAGGGGTATAGGGGTATTTTTGCTCGTGCACCTTGCCGCTCGTCGCCCTCGGTGTTGTCTTTTCCCCACTTTTCTCCCCGTCGCGGACTGGCTCTCCTGCTTCTCTGCCTTGTTGTCCTGCTGGGTCTTGCTTTGTTCTGGAGCGGCGGCCTTTGCGTCGGCGGGGATTTCGAGGGCTGAAATATCGTCGCCGGATTCGGCCATGACTGCGATCCGAGTTCCGACCTGTACTGATTTGCTTCCGTCACCTTGCATAATCTTCATCAGGATCCCGTCGTCTTGGGCCTCTACATCCATCGTCGCTTTGTCGGTCTCGATCTCGAGGAGGACGTCTCCGGCGCTGTAGGAATCGCCCTCCTTCACCTTCCACGTCGCGATATTGCCTTCCGTCATTGTAGGGAGAGGGCGGGCATGGTGAAGTTTGACGCAGCGAGACATCTCGAAGAGGTTTGGTAGCCTAAATTGTGCGCAACAGATTTCGAACTCCGTTAGAAAGCTGCGATTGCATTCCCCAATCCCCCTTCAAGCCGTCGTCCCCTAAAAAAAATTGCCTTCCGCTAGGGGAAGGGGAGGTTCCGAGCTCCGAACCGGAGGATAAGTACTCACCTCGAAATGTCGCCTCAGAGGCCACCCTGGACCGTACCACCCTTGCCGAAAGACGGCAAACCGACGCGAGTGAGGCCATCGTGTAGGAGCGGTTGTCGTATTATGCTTGCCAATCGATGAACTCGGGAGCGTGTGGGGAGGGAATTGGGTGGATGGGTATTATGTTGGCTGGGAACGAGAAGCTATCGAAGCTTGACGAAAATGTCGCTTTTGCTTTGTCACTTTTTTTTGGGGCCTGGGTACCACGTTCTGAACTAAGGATAATAAAGTTGTTGGGAAAGCAGAGAAAAACCGGCCGGAAAAGTCCGGTCAATGGGTCCAAGGTTCCACACCAGAAAATAGCTGGCCCGTGCACGATAGGTCCGCGTTCGGTGGCCTTGTCCATTGAGGAAGAGGAAGCCACGACTGCTGGCCACTTTTCGACCAATAGCCAGCTCGATATTATCTCGAAAGACCCTTCAAGGTGGAACCACCTTTAGATAATTTTTCCCAGGGCCTTGTGCGCGCACGATCAACAGCTCCCAAGGCTGAGGAAAGTAGAGGGAGACCGCAACCAAGCCCTTCACTCCCGACCCACACTGCTTCCAACGCGACAATCAGCTTGTGGGCAAAGCCAATCGACAACACACCTCTCCCTCCCCTTGCCACTCCCATCCTCGAACGCGCACCTTTCCAGCTTCGAAACCGACCGCCCCTCCGGCGCCCTCCAAATTCGCCATGTCCGCCTTCACCAAGGGACCCGCGCGGAACGTCTTCGTCTGCGTCTCTAGAGCGCATCTTCCTCGACCGGCGACTCGAGATTTCCTCTCGTCGCGGACCTTCCGATCCTCCGCGTTCAGGCGAGCTGCCGCCCCTCCGCGGCGCACCACACCCGTTCAATCCGCGGCAAAGACACCCGCCAAGAACACGAACCCATCAACCTACGCCTTCGTCAAGCAATTGGCCCAGAAAGGCACGCCGACGGTACTCTACGAAGCCCCTCCCATGGCTGGATGAGGCTAGGGTCGTGGATGACGGCCATCTTCTGCTTTAGCTATGCCGGCTACAACATCACGATATACACGAGCCCCCGAGGGCCTGAACTGGTGGGTGGGCAAGTCGTACTCCATCATCGCCATCGCCATGGCGTGCATGGGCACATATTGGCTGCTCAAGTCCAAGAACATCATCAAAACTATTCGCGCCCTGCCCACTGCTATTCAGCCCCTCACCGCTGGCAGCGCGGGGCCTCGCACGGCCATCCCCCCTCACCCTTGAGGTTACGGTCAAGCGCATGCTCCCTCTCCCTCTCCTGAAGCCTAGGGTCATGATCTTGCCCCATACCGACGCCAGCATGGTTGCGCGCATCGTTGCCCCCGCCGAGTATCTCACTCCCATTGACCGCATCGAGAAGAAGCGGGCGGAGGAGCGCGAGCGCGAGGAGAAGAGGAAATATGAACTCTCGCATCTCTGGTCGGCGCCTTTTAGGCACCTTGCGAGGGGACAATGACGGCATGGTCGGGCTTGAAGCAGTCGCTTACTGGCTCTGGCTTTGCCACGGTCAAGATCAATGGTGAGGAGTTCCGGTTGGACATCTCGAATGCTTGGATGCTCGACGAAGGCAAGGCCTTGGAGCGTCTCGTAAGGGTCGTGGGGATCAACCACGAGAAAGAATCAAAGTGGGCGAGGCTATACAGGTAGCTAGCTATAACTAGATGGTGTGCTGGAATGGTCACATGTTGGTGAGCAATTGTAAGAAGAAAGCTGCTGTCTGTAACATAGCAAAGCGCGGGTTGTACAATAGATAGACAAAGCCCTGCATTCATTTTTTTCCTAGTCTCGCCTTTCCACCTCTTGAATCGCCCGGAAACAGAAACCGGTGCTATGCCTGTCCGATTCGTAGAAGAGGCCAAGAAACCTCATCGCCCTAGCTACTATTCATCTTAGGTTTTGCATGTAGGCTATTAGACCTTTTCTTCGGTGCTAGCGAAAGGAAGCCCGCCACTCCTAACTCCACACCCTCCACCTTGTTAAACCCGCGATTCGATCGGCTGAGGTCGGTAATTGGCAAAGCCTAAGTCACACAATACTGCACGCGTAGCTTAGCTAGACTCCGCAAGCGTGTTGTCTATGAGGGAAAGACACTTCAATCTACCATCTAGAGAGCTGGCAGTCACGGCACGCAACTTTTTGACAAAGAGACAGTGATGGGTGTGTCTCAATTTTATTTACACGAGGCCACGAAGCCTAGGGTTAATTATGTACGTGAATCAAAGCATATGGCCTTTTCCCTCTCTCAGGTATATAGATCAGTCAAAGACCTTCTACCAAGTTCATAATATCGGCCGCATGGTGGATCCATAGATGTGTCGAGAATTTATTTTCCGACGCCAGCGATGGCCTTTACGTTGGCGGGAACATTAGCAACGGCCCAGTGAGACCACATGATGTTGCTCTTGTATGCTCCGAGCTTGCTAAGGGCATTCTGGCTGACAATGCTGTTAACGGCACCGGAGCCGGAGAGCCTGTTCCACTCGGGAATGTACCCAAGCGGGCTGGCGGCGTTGGAGGCGTCGGCGACGGTCTGAATGAAATAGACCTGGCCGCCCTTGTTGAAGCTGTCGGCGGTGATGGGGTCTTGACGTTCTCGAAGTAGTTTCCCTCAATGAGCATCCAAGTGTTGGTGTCGACGTCAAAGGCGTGGCCGTCAACGTTTTGGAAATAGTTGTTGACGGCGTGGACGACGATCTGAGAGGAGGTGTAGTCGGTGCCAATGTGAGGAGCGCGGCCGGAGACGTCGTGAATCCAGTTACCAGCAATCGTATAGTAGTCCTTGAGGCCGATGAGGAGCATGGTCCAGTAGTGCTTGCCGTTGCATCCGGCGGACCATGACGTCTTGCCGTCAAACTCGTTGTCAGAAATGGTGACCCTACCGCCAGTACCCCAGCCGGAGACGATCATCTGGCGACCGATCAAGGAGAACTTGTTGTTATCGATCCAGACGTTGTCCGAGCCGTCGAGGGTGATGGCATCACCACCCCAGACGAATTGAGGGTTGAGCTCCTGTTTCCACAATCAGTCTTCACATTCCTTCTGAACAAATTTTCGCAGTCACCTCCTCGGGAGAAGGAAACTGCTTCCTCAGAGTCTAGAGAGAGAAGCTTACAGTGATATGAATGTTCTGAATAATGACATTGCTGACGCCACCGTTCAACCTGAGGCCCTTGCCTCGAATAACACCCTTGGTGCCAACACCAACGATGGACTTGTTGCTGGCAACCTTGAGAGGGGTCCTCGGAGCATTCCAGTAGGTGCAGCTCTGCCAAGTGCCGCTATCACAGGTGCTCTGGATCCAGAGCTGACCCGCGGAGCTACCGCCAGGGCACTTGGTAGTGCGGTTGTCGCTGCAGCAGTTGGTGGTCGTGCTGCCCTCTGTCTGGAGGAAGTCAAAGGTCCGGTCAAGCATGATAACACGGGGTGCTATCGCTAAGCATGGAAACGAGCCTTGCAATGACCATCTCTGTCAGTATCCATCTTGACTCTCGCAAGTTAGGCGCATTACGCCCTGAAGGGAAAACTTACTGTGCGTTGGTGGTAGGGTAGCTGGGAGTGGCGCTGCCGCCGCCAGTGACGGTGTTGGCAAACCCAAAAGGAACACCCTTGTGCTGGGCGTAGGCGGCGGGGGCCGCCGCCACAATGGCGGAGATGAGAGCAAAGACCTTCATCACGAGATCTGCCTGGGGGTGCGGACTAGGTAGAGAGTGACTGCTTTTGGTTCGAGACAGCGAGATCTGCAAAACAAAAGAAAGAAGCTGAAAAAGGCGTGGGAAGTGATACCGATATATATAATTTCTTTTCATCCCTTCCCCACAACATGACGGCGCACGATGCTGGTGATAATTGTCAAGCCCGGGCTCGAAGAAGACGGATCGTCCGCACATACAAATCGGGAAAGTCGGCCGATTGCATCGGCCCCACTCTCCATGTTCCATCATAATGCGACCCTTGCTCGACCCTCCGCCCATATTCTCCCATCAATGGTAGCTCCCCTTTCAGCTCGAAAGCTGGGTTACACTCAAGCCTTCCTGACGGGAGCATGGCTACAAGCAGAAAAGCATGAAGGAAAAACAAGCCCCCAGTGCTGTATCCGTATCCGCTTGGGACTGCCAGCGCATTCGAGGCGCCTACACCCCGGAAGCATCGCCAAGCGTCGGGATCGTGACTGAGGGGCTATTGAAGAACGGAGATCACTCGGCAAGCAGACGCAAGTAATAGGCTACTGGGGCTCTCCTCCGAAAAGAAGAAAACTCCCCAGCGCAATGAGTTGTGCTATACGAGCCAGCGCGGTGAACACCGAGCTATTTCCTCACATCCACGAAGCTGGTTCTTCGGTTATTCCAAGGCTCATACCACCGCCCAGCAAGGCGCCCTATGGCCTCCTTCTCAAAGCCCCCTTTCATATTCAAACAAAATAACTTGTTCATGCGGAGCACGAGCCAGAAAGAGATGCGGACATTCGACGATTCCAGACCCACGGTTCGTCCAGATTTTGATTGAAGGGTCGTTGGTCACCCGCTTGTGGAGTCCAGGGTCACAGCTCCAAACGCGCCAATGACGGGAACACTCCATCCCAGATCCATGGTCGAAATTCGGCTGACGCCTGTCGCCGCTGATGCCCACCATGCCCGCCATTTTGACAGGCGTTGGTGTGCCACTCACGAGCTTGATTCTCGAGAATTGGCTCTCCCCTCCACGAGCAAAAGCCACCAGCCGAAGTGAGGGAGCATTCTAAACCCTGTTCGCGCGAGGCAACTTCAGACGAAGACTGCGAGCGGGCCTGAATCTAAAATAGGGAATACGAGACTCCAACCCCACCCTCCGCCCTCTCCCTAGGACCTGACAGCTTTTGTGAACGCAAAACACCGATGATCTCGGACGAGGTTGATGTTTTAAGCGTCTTGCAGCGGGAAATATGCACGAAATGTGAAGACTGTTGAGGGATCTTAATTCCCCGCCCCGGCATGGTACTGTCCTTGACCCGCCGCCATCCTAGAACGGGCTTAATCGCCGTTCTTGAGGCTCAGGTCTCCCATATAGATGCAAAAGCCTTGCATTGGGCTGGTGGCCGACTCCTAAGCGGGGAGATGCAGGATTGCTCGAATTCTCTAGTGCGCCTAATCCATCAACACGTCTAGCCTCTATGGCAAGCTCAAACTTCACAATGTTTGGCTGGCCTGGGTCTTCTAGCCGTCCTTGATTCCCAACAAGAGAATCCAAGTTCCCGTCGCTACATAAAGGAGGCGTTGATACCGTTACTATCTTGTGAAGAGAACTTTCTTTGGGTTTCTAACGCACGGGAAATATGTGCTAACAGCCTAACTAGAAGCCAGTCTCCATGGGCCCGAAGCAACGTAGGGACTTTTACGACGCTCGAGGATCAACAAGTCCATGGAACGCTGTTGCACGGTTTAGGTCGGAGCTTCACTCCCACACTAGGAGCTGGGAGGCCCTGAAGTCCTAACCTCACTCTTGTTTTGGGCTGAAGAGACCGCTACGGGTTCACTTGCCTTCTACATGTTCGCCCATCAGGACCCAACTGTTCAAACAAACTCTTCTCTTTTGTTGTCGCTCCGCCAAGGAGGTTTTTGAAGTGGGCCATCGATTGTCTTTATACGCCGTGTTGCCGGAATCAAAAGGCAGGTATGTTGTCACCTATAAGGAGTTGCCTGGCTGTGGAGCGCGATGAAAGCAACCCTCTGAGGAACTCTTGGGGTAGGCATGCTAGCCTTCGGGCTTGGGCGCGCAAGCCATGCCCCTCTAGTGTCGTTGACACCTACCCATCTCCCGTCCCATCTAATGGGACTATACTAGACGTAACTAACCTCGCCCGCGACTGCAAAGAGCAGCAAGGCTTCCTCGACGAGTTTATGCAGAAGTCAACCCTCTTTTCTCGAACACACCCCTGTGCAACTGGAAATGTACTCTTCCGCCATTAGTGACCATCCGTCTTCTGGACCATACCCAAACTTCGGGGAATCACCGCTAGACGCTACTCACGAGAGATGTAGAGTATCTGGTCCTAAAGCATACAACCTCGGCGAATATTTTAGGACAACGCGGCCCCAGAGCCCCAAAAGACGTTTATTTCGCGAGCGGAGACACAACACAGGGGGCTTCTATAGGCCAAGACCACTAGATTGGTCCTCTCATCGGCTTTCGGCAACGAGGCTGTCAAGGACAAAGCCAACAATCAGCTGTGGTAGCGTAAATGGCCGAAATGAATCCCTAACACCCACCGGACATCGTTCGCACAGGCTATCTGTTTCAATACTTGTCGTTCGCTGAAGGGGTTGTCATCGCCTTTCTCGTGTCTATCCGCACCCGACCTAGCCATGCAGGTTGGAAGACTTGACAACCGGAGGAAGTTTACCTTTGGTTGGCAGCAAATTCCGTACCTCTAGGGGCCCCAACCCTTCCATGGCCGTATAGCTGAGATTACGGTGCATTGCTACGGATCACAAAGGCTGTAGATACAAGGGTTTGGTTGACTCGCCTATCACTCAGACCTGAGAGCCCCATTAGAGAGCTTTGAAGATAGTTGTCGTAGGGTTGACCCAGGCCACCTGCTCTGGGTGGTGATGACGGTCTTTTGGATATACCATTATCACTAGCTGGGTTCGCATCACCCCAGCCGCTTGAGTCAGTGTATGGTAGAATTAGGTCTCTCTGCCCATCAAGGCTCGCTATCGATGGAAGTCCACTTCCTCAATATCCCGTTTGAAAAGCGATGATTAGCATCTAATCCAAGTCGGCCGCATGCTCGAGATTTCCTGGTGAAAATATCTCGAGCTGGACAGGAGGTGCTAAGAAGCAGACTGCGTGTTTTACCGGGTTGAGAATGCGCCGGGAAAAAGGCCGATCAGGACATCACCATCACGCGGCATTGAATTCCTTGCCCATTTTATCCAGGCCACGATCCCGGATACCTCAAACACCAAAGGCAGCAGCTCTCTTCGTCCCTAGCCCAGGCTAGATGAACAAGAAACACTCCCAACCAGGTAGGACCCACGGCTTGGTAGCTACGTCTATCGGCCGTTGGCCCCGAATATTCGCCATGTTCTTGGAATTGCGATCGTTGCTAGCCTCGGGTCCATCTTTTGTTGACCGTAAGGCTGCACTTTCATGCCGAACTGAACTGTGTTGTTGTTGCTGAAGCCAAAGGGAACCTGCTGGTCGAATATCCTTGGCCGATTATAAGCACTATCTCTTTCACGTCTACTCACGCATACGCACACACATACACATACACACACACGGACACATACACACCAGTGCTTTACCTCGAATTCAGGTTCGTCAGGAACTTGAAATTTAGCAAAGGCTAAGACCATGTTGCACGGGACGTCCGCCACAAGCTTTGAGCGCTGGGCGACTAGCCATCCAGGGCTTTTCTGAGCCACCCTCCACAACCGGCCCCTCGGCGCTGGAACAAGATTTCAGGAAACTGGTATCCTCTACAGTTCCACAAGGTTGAACAGGGCCGCCTAGCGTCCATGTTCGATCGTGACCATTGATGCGTTGTTCGAACGCCTTGGAGGCTTGTTGGCAGGATGTTAATGTTATGCGTCTCTAGCTTTGTTTCAATTACGTGAATGATGAACAAGAAAAAGGACCCCACATCGATATGACAGCCGAGACTATGTTACGATGACCACTCCTCTTCTGCCCAGCTTGGTTGGTATTTTCTTTTCGGTGGTGTCATGCCCCTCATTTCTGCCTCCTCAAGGCCACTTTCCATCCAAGGAAATGACGAGGGCCACGCAGGGGATCGTTTGCTTCTCGCGTCCGATACCGCGATTGTGGAGCTGTGAGGTACTCGTGAAGGAGTGCCGTTTGAACGTCATTTGAACATTGGATGGAAAGGGAGGTTGCTAATAAGTGGGGAGCTTGGACTAAAACCGCCAGATCAAGGCTTTCAAGCCATCAGGGCGGGCAGACCAAGGCTCGCAAATCAAATTCTACTCGAAATTTTTTTTTTGCGCAACACCTGACCAAGTCCACCATTCGATAGACTGTTGTGTGTGTGGACATGGGTCGTGTGGGGAGAGGAGGGTGGCCTTGTCTTTGTGACCTTGGACAGGGATGTGCGTGCCTCGAAGCTTGCGAGCGAACCACAACTGCATGCAACCAAACACCTCGACAGACCCCGGATTCGGAGCCTCACTGGGGGCTGAGGGGCTTGAGGCGAGGGGCTTGAGGCGAGGAATAGCAGGGTAAACCAGATGACTTGAACAGGAAGATCTACTTCTCGAAGTGGTCGCAGGAGGGAGGGTCACTACGGGGGGGAGCTCGGCCTGTAACCAGTAAGCGAGTGCGGGAAGTCATCCTTTGACAGTCCGACGTTGATCCCCCTCTTTGAGGAGCTCGGAGTCAAGCTGCGGCGCCGAGTGGCACTACTCGGTTGTATCTCCGTTTCAAATCGGCGTTGCTCGACGAGAGATGCAGGATCCGAATGTTCGCCACAGCGTCGAATTGCAGCGACTTGTTTGGCTCCAATCGCCTGCCCTGGAAGGACCTCACGAGTCTTCGGCCATGGTAGGTAGAGGGGAGCAATGACCCAGCGGGAGCCGCGATTGGCCAAACGACAGCGCCGGTGACTACGGTTTCCACCGGAGGAGAGTCCTGAACATTGAACCCTTGTCGGGTCGGGGCAGGCGGGGGAGGAAAAGCCAAGGGTCAAAAAGCCACCATTTGACATCAAAGCTACGAACTCCCTTGCGGCATCTGGCGGCGGGTGAGCCCGAGTTCAAATCTGGCGGTCGGAAACGGTGTAGGCGCAGCAGAGTTTTGCGGTACTCAAACGCAGTTTGTGATGCAAAAATTCGTTTGATCGGTTACACGACCGTGCAAGAAGACATGCAGTCCACACATGCTCAACCCGCAGGCGCGCACGCATGGACAGGCTAAAC